AATATATATTTCTATATTTTTTTTAATGTTTTACCTATAACTTTTCGTACATATATTACGTCCATCTTCTWAATWCAGGACGATGTTGGTCAGCAGTAAGGTGTGCTACAATCGATCAAGATGTTGCACTATAGCTGTTGATGATGACGATCCACGTTGATATAGATCACGATGAACGGCAATGAATGTGGTATATCGCATCATCTTGATGAGTCGAGTCTGTTGGAGTATCATAGGAGTTGTTGGATGATGTTGGTCTTGGTTGGTGTGCGACGATCCAAGTTAGCTGTAAAAGGTTGTCTTTTCATGGCTGTCCAAGACTGTAATTCCTATGAATCACTTCAACAGTGAAGTATAATATATTGATCGTTTTATCTTGATGTGTTGAGTATTACTATACTATAATCTTGATTGGTATTAGTTATTGTTAGAAGTAGAGGTGCGACAATCAGTCCAAGGTTTTGATTGTTACCTGTGAAGTTGAATGTTGATGACCAAAGTTGATGAAGATTACTCCAACGACAATGAATATAGTATGTATCGCTTCTTCTTAATGGGTCGAGTCTGATCATGTGTCATAGGTGTTTGTTGGACGATGTTGGTGATCAGTGGAGTGCGACGATCGTAGTTGATGCAACAATGTGAGCGTATCCTGGGCTGTTGTTGAATGTGTTGCTAAAGAATAGCTTCAGTAGTGATGTAAAATATATCTATCGATTCACCTTGATGTGTTAAGTCTGTTGGTATGTCAATTGTAGGTGTTATAGAGACGTTGGTGGCAGTTGGAGTGCGACTCTTGGCGTATAAAGGGAAATGATGTCTCTTCTGCAAGCTGTACTTTGTAAGAATAGGTTCAACAGTCACATATTATATATAGATCGATTCCTGTAGATGTACTGAATCTGTTGGTGTATCAAACGTATGTGTTGAACATTGTTGGTGCATCATCGTTGTGGCGAGACTCATTCGAAAGGAATTCATGATGTCAAGTGTGATGTTGTTCATCTGTTGTTGTTGTTGTAAATCTGGATGTCATTAAGTGGATGATGTATAAGCTTCAATGTTATTGTTTAATCAAATGATCCACTGTCTGTATGTATTTGTACTAATGTTATATGTATCATAGTTGTTAATGACTAGTCTATTAGGTCATTGTCAAAGTGATTCAAACAACTGTGAAATTTTGATTAAAATAAATTATTGTTTATTAGTATTTATATATTCTTCCAACATGTTGTTTAGACAAGTGTAAAGTATGATATAATAAGTTAAATGATGATAGTAAGTATATCTGATAGTCGGATTGTTTGTGGGATCTTTATATCATTGAGTTATAAATGTTTGAAAAAGTGTATGTGTTCGAACTTCCATCCCATACTATCGAAATGAATTGAATTACCCAACGACTTGAACTAACTGGACAATATATTATTTGGTGTAACTAGTTTCCGCTATTGAAAGGGATAGTCCCAAAGATTATTTTTCAATAGTCTACCACACAAAATATAACAATATATTTTTAAGAGCCATGGCTTCCGTTGTTTCTGATTTCATTGTTATCAGATTCTGTTTATTGGTTAAGTGAAATGAAAGTTGTGAAAAGACTACCACTGTTGTTGCTGTTGTGCATAGTCCTCGTCGTCGTATCCTGGGATGATGGGTTTGATGACCTTTCCTTCTTGGTTGACCTCGTCCCATATTGGTTCGTTGTTGAAGTTGAATCTTGGCCACGGTTTGGACATGAAGCGTTGAAGTTGTTCTGTGCCTCTTGGCGACAATCCACCCCTGTAATAAATTTGGAAACTACCCATATTGGGGTATATATCTAGGCCGATTCGTTCATTCTCGGTGATGGCGATTATCATGTCCATGTACATCTTCGTTTGATTACAGTATTTGTAGATGTTCTCCTTACAGGCCTCTGTACATTCATCGTCTTGAAGGAGGACCCCATATGGATTTCCATTGAATGAATCAAAAACTGATAGATCAGAGCGAAAGGGGTGAACTTCTTCAAAATTCCAGTTATGTTGATGGCAAGGATATATAGCTTTAGATTCTGACATTGATTCTTGAGTGGGATTAGTTATTTGCACAAATGAGTGGTGTTCACATCCTAGTTATTGTGAGTTGAAGAAATATTAGTATTTAATGGTGTTATCAAGAAATATATTGTAATCTTTGGGTGGGTGTTTAATTTCACAATTCATTGACGATTCGTTATAACCCCTATTCACACACATTGGACACTGAGTATAAGATCTTGTTTGACCCCACCGCCCCCAAGAAGAAGAATGTGGATGAGAACCCCGATCAAAAAAGACTGGTACCTCTGGTGTGACTGGTACCTCTGGTGCCTCGAACCCAATTCCTTCTGGTGGAGGAGGTGGCTCTGGTCTTACCGACTGCTACACTTTGGATAGAGATGATCGAAATGGCACTCTATTGTTCCAGGCCAAATTTCCTTTGGATATTGCCATCGCCTACCAGGATTATCTGTTTGGTGCGCTGGACCGTCGTGAGAATTTCTGCCCCTTCTCCGTCGCCAACACCAGCCCATTCGTTTCTAAGTTGGAGATGAACGTGGAGGAGGACCCCAACATCAAGCAAGCCTGCAACTAGGTCAACGAAGAATTGCGTTTCATTGGTAGTCTGTTCCCAGCCAGTGGCATCACGGTGATTGATCAGCCAACAACTCCTTTACCATCTCCTCCACCAAAACCCAACGTGTATTTCGGTGATTCACCAGTGGTTTGTGGTACCTATATCAACAAGCAAGGTGTCAAGATCAACCAAACTGATGTCATCAACTCCAAGGACTACCAATGCAAAGAGATAAGGATCCAAGGATGGAACGGTCACTTGGTGTTCGCCCCTGGCACTGACAATGACAGAGCCTTCAACATCGAGGATCAGTTCACCAAACACCGTCAGTCAATCAACAACAACTGCACCATCGATCCCACGACGGACCCTTGTGTGGCAGCATGTCAACAGATGGACTCGTTCAGGCAAGGAACTTTGGCACTCAACCGCGTTTCAGTCAAAGACGACAATCACATTCGTACACCTGCCTACTTCACCAACTCTAGCATCGACGACACTGTTTTCTTCTACATGCGTTGTGGTGAATTCCGTTTTGAAGGATACGGCGGAGCCCAGAGCACCAAGTCGCCCGACTTTGGTTGCTTCAGAGCCAACATCAAGGGAAAGGATGGTCATCTGATTTTCACACCCAACTTCAGACCAATGAACGCCTACAATCTGGAGAACGCGTACAGGACCAACCGACAATCCTTCACCCAACAATGACCATGGAACGCCAATGGGGCCAGAGCTTGCCAGGCCGATGCCGCTGTACTCAAAAGTCTCCTCAATCAAATGAGAGATAACAAGGTGGCCATTATTGAAGACCGGTTATATTACAAGCGCATGTAAATTAAATGGGTATTATGATAAATAAAGAAAGATTGTTTTTGTTTAATCAATCTACACTCTGTTCTCCAGGTTCTGATCAAATGTTACACATGGAATGGCAATACTTCCAAATGGTTTGGTTCCATGACTAGCAAAGTTATCAATACTGAACAGGCGGAATCCAGAGAATGTAACTCTGAGCATCTGTCCCTCAGTAGTATCAGTTGGTGCCACTGGCACAAAGTAGTTTCTGAAGAACCATCTTGGATTGGAAGGCTTTGGAAGGAACTTTGGTGGGATCGTTGAGGGTGTCTTTATAAGACCAAACACAGTTGAATTAGTACCAGGAGGAATGTCAAATATATCAAAGTCCCAGTAGACCATCGATCCGATTCTCGTTGCTTGACCACTCACTTCGGCGATTGTTGGACTTTCACCTGTTGCCGTTGTGTTAATCGTCCATGTGACTGGGATGGATGTGGGTGAGCCGTCGGGACTTCCAAACAGAGTCTCCCCAGTCTCTGTCTTGATGGTTGAGCCGTTTCTTAGAATGATATCCGAGTATTGTGATGACATGATTGTTATAATCTATATGTTGTTGTTGTGCTGATCGCTGATCTGATCCAGACTATGAAAGGAGAGTGAGATGTTGTTGGCAATTCTAGAAATAGTCATTTATTCAATCAATCACTGAGTGACGATCTCATCTGTTCCATTACGTTTAATAGTTGCCAATGCATCAGAGTATGGACGGAACAGTTCCTTGAGTTGATTGATTACTTGGTCGGGTTGGAATGATTGATCAAACTGAGAGACAGCATCGACAAGTGTCTGTTTCTCTTGTTGCATCTTATCAAACTTGATCACAACATTGTTGATATCAATACTCTTGAGATTTGCTTTAGATGTTATCCTGTTGAACTGTTTGGATAGGTTGTCCACTTTGTTAATCTCTCGTTGATTCTCTCCCAATGTCTCTTTGATGATTCTATCTCTGTCGCTTGTTATCTTCTCCCAGTAGGCAACCAATGATTTGCTTACCTCCTTGTCATGAACTCTGAGCTTGGTTGGATCATCATCTTCTGCAACGGCACCATCACCACCACTGATGATGGGGAGTTTACCAAGATCTCCACCAGACAGGATATGCTCCAATTGCTTGTCGACTCGACCAACGTCTTTGTCAAGCGTGTGTGGATAACGCGAGGGCTGAAGCCATCAATTGAATCATAGCCACTGCGTGGCATGATTCTACTATTTATTCTAACTTTTAGTATATAATATGTATAAAATGTATAAATATATATAAAAATAGTTAGATAGTTAGTTAGATTTAGAAAATTAAAAAAAAAAAAAAAAGAAGAGATAGAATAAATAATAAACGGGTTTCCAAAAATAAACTAACTTATTAACTGATAGAGAATAAAATAAAATTAGTTAGATAGTTAGTTAGATTTAGAAAATTAAAAAAAAAAAAAGAATAGATAGAATAAATAATAGTGAATAGTTTCCAAAAATTAACTAACTTATTAACTGATAGATAGTTTGATTGATAGAGTAAACGTGTGGTAATGGGCTGGATGGATCGATGTATCTTTATTCATTCAATCAGGCTGCTAAAGCCTGGTCTTCAATCGTTTGGAAGAAGTGGTGTAATTCATCAAAAGAAAGTTCTTTTTGTTGGTCGGAAAGAGTCCTGAGCGCTTCCTTGTGAAGCTCCAACTTTGCACTGTAGCCAGGTATTACATTTGCCTCGAGTAGTTCGGCGTGAGCTTGGACTTGGTCGTAGAGGTTGGCATAATGAATTGCGTTGTTTTCGGTCATCCGAAGTTGACGGTTGAGGTGTTCTTCTGAAAACACAATGTAGGAGGTAATCTTGCGTCGAGACTCCCTTGATATTCTTTCTGTTGGTTCTCCAGATGTCATTGGACCACTGAGGAGTCTCATAACAAATTGTCTTTGCTCTGCTAAAGAGAGAAGAGAGAATGTCATGGTATCCCAAGCCATAATAATATTAAAATCTCTATTCATGTTTGAGGTGTAATTAGGTGGAGGTAAGAATGAATCAGATCGCAGGTGCCTGAAGTAATTGATAAAAAAAAGGGAGAAAATGATTAAAAAATCTAAGTTGAACTTCAACAGAATGATATAAGAATTAATTATTTCTGGCATACTGATATAGAATGACCGATGTCAAGGATAATCGATTACCTATTCAGGTAGGCAAGTTCAAAGAGTACTACGACAACAACAAAGAGTTCAGGGATCAACACAGGGCCAAGCAAAGGGAGAAGGTTATTTGTGAGTGTGGCTTTGCAGTTGGTAGAACCAATCTTCATAGGCACTTCCATGGGTACATTCACAAACAACTAATGGCTAAAGATAAATCAAAGTGATATAAATTAAATTAATAAATATAGTTTATATATATCTACAAAAATGAGCAAAGTACCAAAGCAAACAAAACGTCTCAACAGTGTTGGGGTGACTCAGTTAACCTTCAATGGAAAATACACAAGAGCAAAGATAGAGAACATTGCACAGCAGTACAGTAATGCTCTCAACAAGTATGGCGCCAAAGCAAAGATTGAAGTTGTAATGGCATATCCAAGCTATCAATTCAGATCAGGTATATTCACAAAGGTTGGAGAACCAGTAAGTTTGTTCGATCCACATGAGTACGATGGTGCACCAGTACCAGACGTTGACTCATTCAAGAGGTTCTACTTGTTCATCCACAAGAACAATGAAAAGGCAGGAGGATGTGATGGTGAATGGAACAACTGTCTCTACTACTGTCTCAAGGACATGTACCCTGATAAAGTAACCAAGGTATTCAAAAAGGCTCACAAGCTCAAGAGGTTCTTGAAGATTGATGACGACAGTAAGATATCTCTCAAGCTCATCCCAAAGATTGAAGAGAAGCTAAACATACGAATCCAAGTCAAAGGCGATCACAGTCACATCTCAACATGCAAGGCATCAAGAGAGGTCAATTTGATCTTGAGCAATGGACATTACAAGTTGGACAAGGAAGGAGCATTCAAGGTCAAGGGCATCGCTCAGAAGTCGTATGCCAATGACAGAATGATGAAACCAGTTGCTTACAAATGGTGTGATGAGGACGTCAAGACCTACGATGGCAAGGAATACAGTACAATGAGTAAGGAAGAGTTTATCAAGGAGAAGAGCACTCTCAAGTACAAATCTGACATCCAGTTCATCAAGATACAGTCAGACATGTCATTGAAAGAGACACTCCAATCATTCATCAAAGATGCAGATCAGTGTTTGAGACCGAGTTCGGATATCCGACAAACCGAGACCGAATAAACCGAACCGGACCCTTTTACCAATCCGAAGGAAGTACAATTATTCGAACCGACCACCTTTTTTTTTTATCAAAACCGGATCGAATAACCGAGGGTGAGACATGTGTGGGTGAACATCACAAGACTCATTCATTCATTCAGTTGTTTTATAGATAGATAGATATGATAACCAAACAAAAGAAGAAGAAGACGGCCTCCAATGGACAGCTTGGGGATCCAAATGATTATCAACCACATACAGGCAATGTTAGTAGTGGCATTTGGAAGGCATTCCATATTGCCAAAGACGGCCAATCAATGATGTGTTTGGCTTGCCTGAGATGTTATGTGTATAATGCAGAGAATGTAAGTGTAACATATATATGTTCATTTCAATATTAATAATTGAAAATCTCACACATCCCTGAAGCAATCAACTTCACCAGGAATAAATCATTTAAAAGCAAACATAGATTGTTTATCAAAGCTTGGTCTCACTAAAGAAGAAGTCCTCGAGAAGAATAAGAGCAAACAACTATCAACAATGGATATGTTCACGACCAAACTCTCAAACACCAAACAACTCACCCAGCTGAGTCACAAGGAATGGGTACTTCGTTTTCTTGTTGACAAAGACCTTCCACCCAACGTATTGGACTCTTTGGAGTATCAAATGATGATTAAGACGGCACCCCAACATCTCAATGCTGGGAGCAAACCTCTTACTGCAGATATCGCAAGGTATATAATCTTTACTTTCAATCTATCATTCAATTAGTCACTGGCACACACTCACACTTTATATCACTCACTCAACGATAAACAGGCGCGCTATTAGAGACGAGTACATTGAAAGAGATGAGAAACTAATCAATGAGCTCAAGGATGTCAAGAATATAGCCATCTCCCTCGACTATCTCACAAAGAATACTGTTACCTTTCTTGGTGTAATAGGGTCCTACTTTACCAAGGATCTAGATCTTCGCAGGGTATGATCATTCCATTGTAACCTCAGTGAAGAACCACTACTAACAGGTTACCAAATAGGCACTTCTAGACTTTCACCCATTCGATATAGCCAAGACAGGTGACAATCTACATCAATATCTTGAAGATCGACTGGAGAAGTTAGAAGT